TTTTTGTTATTTTGTTTAGTTTAATGCTAAAGAAGAAACTTTAATTAATAAACAAAGGTACATTATATATAACTTTACTCATGAGCAACGGTTGTGGGATTTGTGTAACCTATTATTTTTTTAATTCCATATGTTATTATTAACAATTTAAAGGGGATCTTGTTTCACAAGGTAAAATATATTAGCATGTCAAATACTGTTTTGGATTTAATTAGGAAAAAAAATAAATACCATTATTTCTGCAGAGTTGGTAAGATAATCAAGATCTCCCTCACAAAATTCATTTATACAACATTCCAGAATTAAAAAAAAATATAGTTAAGCAGGAATTAATGTACACGGTGATGTTAATACTGGCGGCCATTGTTGTTTGCTAATTAAATTTAATAAAAAGGAATCAAGAGATTTTTTTTTTCGAAAAAAAATTTATAGATAGATATATATAAAATAATAGCATCTACATTATAAAATAATTTTCAATATTATCTCACTAAAACATCATTCAAAGGTATAATTTTGGCGCGGTGACATCATTTATTTATTTAAAATTAAATAAAAATCAAAACCCATATTATTACTATCACACTTCACACTAATAATTTGCAATATTACCTCATTAAAGCATCATTTCGGTATCGTTTATTTAAAATTATAAAAATTATAAAAATAAATCGTAATTTTCATTTGTATCATTTAAAATAGATAAGCATTTTTTTTAAATAATAATATTTCGTTTGTAAATTTTTTTAAATAATAATGTTTCGTTTATAAATAATAAACATAATAATATTTCGTTTATAAATTTTATATATTTTTTTTAGATACAGTAAATAGATTTATTAAGTTTTAATAAATAATATTATATAGTTTGTTTCTTTGAAAAATTCGTTTTTTTAATTTCGTTTTTTTTAACTTCATGAATAAAAATAATATTTTTCATAAATACTTATAAAATACCCCATTACAAATTCATATCTTCATTTATAAATCTTATTAAAACTTTGTATATTATTATTTTTTTTTGGATAAATATATTTATTAAGTAATATTGTAGTTTGTTTCTTTTAAAAATTTCGTTCTTAATTTCGTTTTTTTTTTTAATTTCGCTTTTTTAATTTCGCTTTTTTAATTTCGTTTTCGTTTTTTTTTTAATTCCGTTTTTTTAAGTTCATGAATAAAAATAATATTTTTTCATAAATACTTATAAAAATAATAATTAAATACTTAGTTACAAATTCGTATCTCCATTTAGTATTTCGTTTATAAACAAATCTCTCTATCACATGAAGCCCATTTATATGGATCAGCTCAGCCCCGACGAAGAAAATGGTTAAAAACATGAAAAATGCAAGAACTGATGTCCAAACATATCTTGATGCATTAATTAAAAGTGTCGGGGAGGCAATTTTATATATAACATCGACTTAACCCTAACTCCAACCCAGACCTCTAAAATTAATTAATTTCGGGCAATCATGTGATGGAGACATCCCCTAGAAAAGTCAATGATTACCACCAAACAATTATAAATTCGGAATAAAAAAAAAATTTTAAAAAGGTGACATTTCTCATGTCTCGAAAAATAGAGTTTTGTCCGGCAGGTCATTCTTCTGTAGATTTCGTTTATTCTGATCGCAAGAATTACATTTGTTCCGGTGAAAGATGTGATTTGTGTACTATAGAACATTTTGTCCAAGAATTTAAAACTTGGTCTAGTGGGAATACAAAGTTTGATAAGATTATCCAAGAATCTCAAATAAATAAAATTAGTAATAAATTACATTGGATACCTTATGATTATTTTAAATATATCGAACATATAGCGGATGGTGGCCATGGATCTGTGTATTCCGCCATATTAAAAAATGGAGTAAAAAGGGATTGGAATTTTATCAAACAGGATTGGGAATATCATCTAATAGGCCACAAAGTTTCTTTGAAAGAAATAAAAGGTTCTGGATATGATATAGCTGAATTTCTTAAAGTGGTATATTTCTTTATATTTAAATACGAATTATTATGAACTGTTATTAATATTTCGTAATTTATTAATTTGTCCTTTAATATATTTTCACATTAAGGCAACGACTATTCATGAATATTATGAATATATTTCGAAATATTATGGAATTTCGAAAAATCCTTCTACACAAAATTACATTATTGTTATGGATTTATTTGATGGTGACTTAAATAATTTTATAACCAATAAATTTTGGGATTTAGGATGGGAATCAAAAATAGACATATTATTATCAATAACATGGGGTCTTGGAAGCTTACATGAAAAAGATTTTATTCATAGTGACCTTCATAGTGGAAATATTTTGATAAACGATAACGATGATTTCGATCTTTACAATTTTGACTTAAGAATTGATTTAGATTCATGTAAATTAGAAAATAATTTAATTTTAAACTCTAACAATAAAATTAACAAAATGTTTGGATTAATTCCTTTTATTCCACCTGAGGTATTGAGAGGAAATGAATTTACAAGGGAGGGCGATATTTATAGTTTTGGTGGGACTATGTATGAAATAGTTACTGCACAACGACCATTTGCTGATCAAGCGCATGATACTTATTTGGTGATTGATATATGTAATGGCGTAAGACCAAAAGTCCCTGATTTTATGTTAAATTGGATTCCAGAATGGTATTTGGACTTAATGTATCGATGTTGGAGTGATGATCCTTCTGAACGTCCAACTGCTAATGAATTAAGTGATCTGTTTTGTCAAATATTTGAAAAACTTTATGATAATGTAGTGGATAATAATGTTATGCGACAGCTTAAGGTTGCTAATGAAAATCTAAAAAATATATCAAAATCTCAAAAGCAAGAATTATTTGAATTATTTTTATATTCAAGTAAGTTACATCCTCAATCATGTTACTTTAGCAGATATATTCATACTCTTCATGTATTACATGATTTATTGGATGAAATAAAATCTGGAAAATCTTCAGGTACATTCTTGGAACAATTTTAATTTTAATAAATGATCAATTTCAAATTATTTAAATTTTTGAATTTTTTAATTTATAGATCCTAATTTATTATTAAAGTCTGATGAATCATCTACTTCAAGTATCAATACTAATGATATTGACGAAGAAACATAAATTCAAAGCTAGCGAAATATATTATTGATTGGTCATGATTCACAAAGAATTTAAAGAATAAATTGATTTGGTTAGAGAGAATAAAATTACATGATTTTATATATTATATATGTTCTAAGGAAAGTTTTTTTAAAAAAAATAAAAGCTAAAATTGAAATGTTCTGGAAAATTCAAAAAAAAATTTCATCGTAGGAGTTAATCTTCGGAAATATATTTATCTATCTTACGACTATTTTCGCGTGCCCATATTATTTTATTAAGACTCGAATATTATATAGAAAAGGATATTATATATAGAGTGAAAGGTAATTTGTGAATAGGTAACAAAATTGAAGGAAATCAATGTACATTACACAAAAAATAACACATGATACGTTGTATGTTCCTCTAACGAAAAATCTTTATTAATAAATATATGATAAAAATATAGGATAAAAAATACAGGATAAAATATGATATAATATATGGTAATTAATTATTTTTTTGTATAGGCGAAGATATAGTTGAACTTTTTTCTATCCCTTAAACCGTACATTTTAGTGGGCAAATTTGCCCGCTTAAATAATTTTGAAAAATTATCCCCTACAAAAAATTTTTTATATAAACGGGATAATTTAAATTGACTAGGGTGATTCCCAGAAGTGAAGGGCACATGATAACTCCGCAGCCACATCGTGACATTTGATACGTGACTCAAAAAAAGTGCACAAATTTGAGTCATGTTAAATTTGATACGTTTCGGCCGCGAAGCATCCCGAACGACCAATCTTATAAAAATTCTTGGCAATTCAGTTCTGTATACTTCATATCGTAACAAACAAAAATTACTATGTAACATGGGTACTTATCTATAATAAAATTTTGAATTATCATGATAGTTAGGTCGGCTAAATTAACGTTTTTATTTAAAGATTAATTTAGGGCATTTTCAATCAATAAACTGATAAATGAATAAATAAATTTTTTTTAAAAAAAATTCTAAAAACTA